GTGACGCAATCATTGTGGGTATGGAAGCAATCATCCGGATGATATATAAGACCTGATACCTCTAGTGTTGTCGAGGGCTGGGTCACATATAAGACTCAACATCTCTATTATTATGGAGGGTTATGGTGCTATGCAGTGATAATAACCTGGTTGAAATCTGTCCTTTAGGACTTCTATCTTTACAATTTGCATCTGTTCCGGCTACATGTAGCGCTATATGACTGTCATGAGATAAGAAAAGAGTAAAGTGTCTAGCGTTTCCTATAACCCACGTGCACGTCATTCACCTACCTGTACATCATAATCTGCGCGCAATCTGACGCACAGACCAGCTCTTGCCTCCTAGGTATATAATCTATCAGCAACCTTGCCTTGCACTTCTTAGCAATAAATAAGGTTCATAAATTGAAGATCCAGATGTGGACCTCGGGAACTGATGGATCCTCTTCCATGGTCTCTGAGCACTCTTTATCTCTTCTGCAACTGCGGATCAATGTAGTCACAGCAATGATGGACCGCACCTACCTGGAAGATGACTAGCCGCTACCCAACTTCTAGGTCAATGGTCTTGGACAAGTCGTAGAGATTGAAGAAATCATTGAAGATAGCGGGGAAGCTTGGGAACCCGCCCGGACTCGCCATCTAACCGGGAAAGACATGTATACTTCCTAAAACATTCCCTTCGTGATTCGAACTCCAAGCCTTTACCATTCAGATGGAAACGAGAAAATGTTCTAGCCCACCTCCTGCATAGCTTTAACTCACCTCCTTTCTTTCAACTAACCAGACTCCGCAACAATCAATCGATTGACATGATTGATTCCTATATAGGTTAAAGAATTACTTCATTAGGCAGCCTTTAACCTAGATAGGAATCAATCATGCCGATCCGATTGATTGTTGCGGAGTCTGCAACTAACCTTGAGCTTGTAGGTTTTTGATATATTTTCCTTCTGAGATCAAGCGTAAGCCTAATTGAAATTGCAGTATACCCGCGCCTCCGCAGTTAATATGTGAATGCTTGGATTTTTATTGCCGTCTTGATAGCAGTGATCGGAATGGTCTGGTCTGGTCTGGTCTGAGGGTACAGACCAGACCAGACCAGGTGCTTACATAAGGACCGGTCCGACCAGACCGGTCCGACCAACAAGACCGCCAAGAATGAGGCTGAAGCAAAGAAGGAAGCCGAGGAAATGTGTTTTACTACTGACTGTCAATCTAGTCGTCTTCGTTCTCACTATCCTCGATATCGCTGTTCCCCTCAGCTTGGGGCTTTCCATACCAGGCCCGGAGACACTCGCACGCTTCTATAATATCTGCCTTCAGCCTACCACGGCGATCGACGATAGTAAGCTTCGCGCTACTAAAAAGACGTTCGCATTCATCCGACATAGGCGAGATCGCAAACATGTCTAGAGCGAAGCGAGCGAGATCTCGTTGGGAGTCGTAGCGAGATAGCCAGTACGCCATAGCCTCATTGCAACCTGCCTCTTCGTTATGAAGCCGGTCAGTAGAGATGTATTGTTCATACAAATCAGTTGTAGAAACTGGAGCGTCTATTCGAATGCGCTTATGTTCCCGCTGGCGATCAAATGCTGGGTCAGGATCTCTCTCCTTCCTGGCTGGTGGTGGCAGCATCTCGACAGGGTACCTTCCCTTATACTCTGTCTCCCAGAGATGCTTCACCGCTAATTGTGCGTTTTCAAACCACCTCTTCTTCTCTTCGTCGCCATGAAGAACCCACTCTTGCCTGAACCATCCCCACTTGCGATATGGATCAAGGATTTGAGCCGCATAATATGCCGGTGGAAGGTCAGTATCTTCAGGGAATCGATTTTGCCAATTCAGCTGCTGATTGTTATAGTACTCAACGCACTTTAACCAAGCAGCATCAGCGCAGCCTTGAAGGTACTTCCATGTAAAGTTGTTATCGTCCTCAGTGTGGATGTCGTGGTAGTGATCCTTCGTCTCGCTTATCTCCCGGAGAAGGCAGTCCAAAGTTGAAAACCAGTCCGCAAGTGACGTCTTCTTACCTTCAGAAAGCAAAGTTGCAGCATAGAAGTCTTTGAGAGCGAGTTCAATCTTTTCAAGCTCAAACCAGTGCTGTCCATCAAGCTTAAAGTTCGCGATCCCTACGGAGCCCTTTCCAGGTACATGACGAGCCGAGAAGAGCTCTAAACGTTCTCGAACATTTAATGCACGTGTAATCGAATAAAACCATGAGTTCCAGCGGGTCGAGTTGTTCTGGATAAGCTCAAGCCCGTCGAATTGCGAAAGATCTCCGCCGATAATAATTGTAGCAAACTCCTCACGCCGTTGTGGAGTAAGCCTGATGTATCGCACCAGGTTGTGAAGACGACCCAAACATCCGAACTTCTTCCAGAGCTCTTCCACCTTCGTATAGTCGCCACGTTGATGATGCTTCTCCAGCTTCGCAAGATACTTCTCACAGTTTCGCCCCATAAGGAACGCCTGGCAACAGAGGTTGATGACATGGCCCAAGCAACGCAGCCGGCGATGACGACGTTGTTTTGACTTCATCCATGGGCAGAGATCCTTGAGTATAAACTCAACAGCGGTATCATTTGCCGAGGCATTATCCAGCATAAAGTATCCAATCTGATCTCCGCTAATGTCGTATTCTTCCAGCAATTCAAGGACCACCGATCCAAGATTCTCTCCAGTATGTTCGCCGTATATACGTCGCATACCTAAAGCGGTAACACGTCGCATGCCGGTAGTATCAATCCACATAGCGACGACGCCTAGGATAGCGTAAGGGTTTGGTGAAGTCCAGAGATCAAAGGAGATAGAGCACAGTCCGCAACAATCAATTAAGTGGGTCCTAGAAGGTTCAGATTGGATTGATTGATTACCGCTTTAAGCCTAGTAGTTACCTATAGGAGTTTAAGCCCTACCTAGATAGGTAAGTGGGTCTAGGAGAGTGACCGGATTGAATTGATTGTTGCGGAGTCTAAGATAGAGATCCTACTCCGTGAATGGTGTAGGTCCTCCCTAAGCTGTTGCTTCTTCGATATGAATGCATTCATTACCCAGCTTCGGATAGTCTTCGCAGCCTTCGGGAGGTGGTTGAGTAGTGCCGGATTTAAAAAGAGGAGTAGTTCACGAAAGTACTGGTTCTCTAATTGAAAGAAGGCGATATGGCAGTACACAATCCAACGAATTAGAAGCTCTTTAAACTTCTCTACTGACTCCTTCCAGAAAAAGATGCTGGAAGCAGCCCCATCCTTTTGCTGGTCGATTATAGACTTCCGTACAGAACCCTTTCGCTTGATGCCACTCTGGGGATCAATCTGGTGCTTCTGTTCCAGGTGATTCCGGATCCTAGAAGTGCCATTGATGACAAACAACTCTTGCTTGCTCTTCCCAACCCTGCACTCATGGCAGTAATACACCTCTTTCTTATCGCTATCTCGAATGTATTGGAGTCCGTACTTCCAGATGTGTGATGTACCTTGACGGAAATCCTTCCTTGCAATTATTGCACGTTTCACGTACGTGATACCGCCCTGCACGAACTCATCTGGAGATTCGTGATATTGAATAGGAGTGGGTGATAGTATAGGGGTGGGTGATGACGTGGGGATAGGAGATGGAGTAAGAGACGTTAAATCTAGTCTTATAATATTCGATGGGGACGGTGAGGTTGGTGTTGAAGGCTCCATAACAATAGTATATAAGTAGGTTGTTAAGGACTTGATTGTTCTATGTAAGTAGAAGACTTACCTTGATCTTAATGACTCATATTGTGCTAAATTTTCTGGCTAGATTAGTCTAAGATCTAGTCACGTGGACCTATTTATAGCCGGACCGGTCCGATCATCTAGACCGGTCCGACCACAGTCTCAAAAAATCGCCAGACCAGACCAAGTCTTGGCGGTCTAGACCAGACCAAGACCAAGTCAGACCAGACCATTCCGATCACTGCTTGATAGATAATGATAGAAAGGCGTTGCAGCCGTCTAGAAGTGCAGGAACTACAAGGGGTCGCTTCAAGACCGAAAGGAGATTTAATGGGATGAATTTGGAGGGAGCCTGATGCATATTATTATTGTGTGGTGTAGAGAATCAAACTAACTACCTAGGTACTTCTAGCTATGTCTCTTTCTGTAAGCGCGTGTCGCTGTTATAAAGCATAGTTCTCAATGGAATGCGACTAGTTAGTGGGCAATGATACAAATCACACAATAATTCTTGAAGCAGTTACTACAGAGAATCTAAGGTGCACAACGTGATGGATAACAGCAGCTTTTCGCACTGATATCGCGTTGTGCCGTCCAAATGAAGTTAGCGCGACTGCTTACTAATCCGCATTCCGGGGTACCTTCCTGTTGCTACGGCCTCAACACTCTCTGCATCCTCGCTCGCTTCCATCGACCAGCTAGTCGCCTCTCGACACATCAAGACCGTCTACACAGGCTCCAGCCGGCCACGTGCATTGCCACCGACAACAACCGAATCGACCGTCATGCTTGCTCACCGACAATGTGATGCGCGCAGCTTTGTGGCTACCGCCCAGCACCTATTATCAGATTGAAGTCATCATTGTTGCAGTATGGACACGATCCTGAAATCGCTCTGGACAAAAGATAGACCATGCATATGCGGGCGCGTTGAGGCTGGGTAGCGTCTTGGTACATCCAAGACGGGAGGGCCTATCCCGACATCAGCAGCGCTACTCTTACAACGGCTTCAATGTGAGGCTTACACGACTATCTGCTGCGATTTCATCTATTTCACAACGGTACCTATCTCCAATGACGCAATATAGCATCATGGAATATGCTTTTGCACGCGCGATAGTTCCAGGTTTGTAAAGATTCAAGTGACGATCACCGTTGGATATCTTAATACTGCATTGACAGTTTGGTACGATTCCCGATGTCTCGCGTGAGTGTACCGAGATGTGAGATCGGTGTCTTCTTCCCTGCGCCAATGTTTACCTGATTTTGATATTCTAGGCATGAAGATGATCCGGTCCGCGGTGTTGGCTGACATTAATATTTAAGACGCGTGAATCGTTATCTATTCAAATGAAAGACTGCGGTGGGAGGTATGAAGCCGGATCTTGTTGGTACTCTAAGGTAGACCACCATGCAGGGTTAAAGCCTATTTCACGACAGCTTCTTCGTTAGCTATATGCGCCCAGAACGAGCGCATTGATCCAATATTTGTTTGTTTTACACTTCCCTGTTTTGCTTTTCCTCAATGTTTATAGGCTGCTGACTTGCTTTTTTAATGGTGAAGGTACACATAGTACAACTTCTACGCGTTACAATATATCTTCACAATCAAACCTCACGATATCTAATAAATAATGTATTCACATCTACAGGCGGCGGCGGCCTTTATACCATTACTTACAACACCCACTCTGGCGCAGGATGTCAAACCTGGAAAATGGAGCGACATCATCAAACTTCCTGTAATACCCGTGGCGGCCTACATCGTCCCGGACTACCCTTCACCTACCAAGATGATGGTTTACTCAGCATTCTCACCGACTGCTTTTGGCGGTGAACGAGGCAAAACTCAGTTCGCGGAGTACAATTGGATCACTGGAGCAACATCGACGCGCGAGGTCGCCGAGACAAATCACGACATGTTCTGCCCCGGCATGAGTGCCCTAGGCGACGGGCGGCTTATCATAACTGGCGGAAGCAACGCGGAGAAGACGACCATTTACGACCCAAAAGACAACAAGTTTACATCGGCACCGGACATGAAAGTACCCCGTGGTTACCAGAGCAGCGCCATCTTGTCCGACGGCAAAGTTTTCACTATCGGCGGATCATGGAGTGGCCCAAGAGGTGGAAAGCCGGGAGAGATTTACGACCCCAAGGCGAATACATGGACGCTTCTGCCTGGTGCAGCCGTCGAACCCATGTTGACTCAGGACCACGAAGGCATCTTCCGAGAGGACAACCACGCGTGGCTCTTCCCCTGGCGCAACGGCAGTGTCTTCCAGGCTGGACCTAGCAAGGCAATGAACTGGTACTACACCGACAAGGAAGGCGGTACCAGCCACGCAGGCGTCCGCGACTATTTCAACGATGCCATGTGTGGTGTACACGTCATGTACGATGTCGGAAAGATCTTCACAGCCGGGGGATCGCAATGGTACGACGACTCACCCGCCCTCAGCGTAGCCCACCTGATCGAGATCGACAACGTTGGCGCACCAGCCCGTGTCGAGAAGCTACCCGACATGCGTCATGCCCGCGCTTTCGCCAACGTCGTCGTTCTCCCCGACGGCAAGATGCTCATCACCGGCGGCCAGCGCTACGCCAAAGGCTTCACAGACCGAGATCCCGTCTTCATCCCCGAAATCTTCGACCCGGAAACGAAAAAGTTCTCCGAACTCGCTGCTGAGAAGGTGCCTAGAAACTACCATTCCATCTCCATCCTCCTCGCAGATGGCACTGTCTTCAGTGGCGGTGGCGGTCTCTGCTGGGATGATGGAACTGGCATCCCGTCCGAGAAATGCATCGATACCGTTAATCATCCCAATGGCCAAATCTTCACGCCGCCATATCTCACTAATGGCGCTCAGAGACCAGTTATTGAAAAACTTAAATTCGCTACTGTGGCGCCCGGCGGTAAGCTCGAAGTTGAGATGAAGGGGTCTGCGGATGGTGTCAAGTTTTCACTCATCAGAATTGGTAGTGTGACACATAATGTTAACAGCGATCAGAGGAGGGTACCGCTGAACCCCAAAGTTAATGGAAACAAGGTCGAGTTGCCTATTCTTAATGATCAGGGTGTCATGTTGCCAGGTGCTTGGTACCTTTTTGCTGTGAGCAAGGAGGGTGTGCCGAGTGTGGCTAAGATGGTTTATGTGTCGCAGGTGTAATGGGCATAATGGGCAGAGTGTATGGGCAGAATAACGGGAGCAGATTGAAATGAGCCTGGTCGCGCTAAGGCGTTGAATACTGGGACTAATGAATGAGGATGTTGATGTATTTATGAATGGCTTGTCGGATACAATGGTCTCGGAACACTCTGATACGAGCACGAAAGTTATGTGACGGCCTCCAGGCAGCGCCTTCAAAGTTAGATATGAATTATGATATATAGCTAAATGCATGCATACACAAAAACCCCAAAACTAATAATCTCATATACACGTACTACGCCGGCCCTCTCTCCACATCCCTCAGCGTATTATGCGGACTCCCCACATCAGAGTCCTCCTGCTCCTTCTTCACCTCCACTTTCTCCACAGGCTCCGTCTTCCGCGGCGGCGGCGGAACCTGCGCAATCCAAAACTTCGGATACTGCCTCTGCACATTCATCGTCACAAGCGCCGTCCCCAACACCACCGCCGAACTAAGCAGCAAGACCGGCAAGAAATACCACCTCAGTGCCCAAATATGCTGATCTACACACGGCATCAGGGCGGTAGCGCCAGCGGGCGGATGCGTAGTTTTCGTGAGGTGCATGACAACGAGGGCGATTGCGGTGGCGAGGGCGGCAGCGAGCCATTGTAGGTCTGGGTAGGGGTTTTGTTCGAGGTCGAATTGGAAGATTGTGGCGACTATGACGCCGGTGAGGCCGGAGAAGAAGTGGCCGAAGATTAGGGAGCGGGGTTGGGCGAGGGGGGCGTCGATGGCGTTGTAGCAGAGGATTGCTGAGGCGCCCTGTTGGGTTGTTAGTAGGGATTCTTTTGGTTCCGTATACGTGTTCATCCATGCGGATCGGATATAGATGTACGTAGAGGAAAAGCAGACTGGGGGTTTGGGACTTACAAAAGACGCTATTATAGGCGGTACAGCGCGCCGAGTGAAATACTCTGTATGTCCAAAGATGGCCAATATACAACTAAGACCACAGAACGCGCCGATAAACCCCCAGACGCAAACGAGCCATGTTGGAGGCGTAGGCTGCGGCTTTGCTCGGTAGCCCAACCAGTGACTTATTCCTGGGGGCAGACGTGCGAGACTGCGTTGGATGGCGCGTTCAACGGGGACAAGCGGGTCCCATATCGGCATTTTGGGGGTAGGTAAGCGGAAGAGGGCGGCAGTGACTTGTTTGTTAGGTTGTGAGACTGGAAAGAGAAGAGAGGGAAAGTAGGAAAGGTCACGGAAGAGGTACAAGATAGGAAAGGACGTCTAGATCTCGGGCCAGGGGATATACAAATGGATGCCAACGTCATTGTGGTTAGTGGAGACGGTTAGTATGCACCCCGGACTCAAGGCGCGTGCCGGCTTTTAGTGCTGATGCCGGTGCGGCTGCGATTATCGTACATATTTCGTGCGGAGAGAACGGGTTTGTTCGACGCCGTTGGTGTTTTGTCGAATTGCGCATGCATTGCCATGTGTAACTGTATGTCATTTGGTGTTACGAGATCGTGAGAGATGGATCAACATGGGCGAGGACCCAGAAATAAATTTGCGGCAGACTGTGCAAGCGCAAGTGCAGGTTTTGCTGTGAGGAAGATCCGATGTGGATTTCCAGAGATGCGGAAAGAAAATGCGCTAATTAGCTAATATTCCGAAGGTTTGCCGTGCTTCGGGCGAATGTCGCCGAGGTACGGCATTCATTGTTGCTGCTTACTCCTCACGATGCTATGGAATTGTCGTTTGTAGATATTTTGATGATATCATGGTTTGCTGGGTCATTGCTAAGTGTTTTCCTTTTGATTACCTACCCGTCGTTTAATAGTATCGTACAGTAGCCCTTTCAGCGCCGCGCTAAAGCCCAAGAAATGGTATGCATGAGAAGGAAATCGTAAGGTCCATCGTCGCAATCAGACAACATCCCCGAAGTTATTTCTCTGGGTGTTGATTAAGCTTGTACTTGAGCCCTTTGTTCCAAGAACAGCCGCAGAATCGAACCTAAAGTTTGCTTTTATTACCCCAGCACTCTCTATATCTCTGTCACTGCTGTCATCCCTATCTGCCGGTAGACTCAGATCCGCGACGACGCTCGGTCTCGTCAACTGGTGCTCCTTCAGCAAGTCCATCTTTTTCAGCCAGTTCTCTACAGGGCTTTTGAGCCATGGGAGTGAGGTGGCGATGATGCCGACTTCTTCTTCTAGCTTGGCCCACATGGAAGGCAGGATTGTAGCCTGCATGACGTCGCCCTTGCCAAAGGAACTGAAAGTCGTCATTTTGGCGCAATTGATAGTGGTAGCGAGAAGACCGAGGGCCATGAGCACGCCGATGAGTATCTTTTCCGATGTCGATCGATTGAGAGTTCGAATTAGGCGGATGGGCATGAGTGACAGCATCAGGTCCATTGCTATGTAGACGCCTGGCATTTCGGTCAATTCTATTCATCATCTATGGGAAATACGAGCCTTACCAGCTATGATCCATCCGAGGGTGATGATCGGACGTAGATTCCAGCACTTGGAAGCGATACCCGTATTCCAGTTGGCGCTAATAGGATTGCATTGCGCAAACTGAATCACTACATAGGCTCCGGATATCAGAGTCTGAAGACCCATGACGGAGTATAATGGCCATCGCCATACCCTCTCAGTTCCAAAACGTAGCAGTGAGCACGCGACAGACAGGCGCACCAGCCATAGTGTTAAGAGCCATACGGTTTGGAGCGCGAATTGTAGTCTGAGAGTTATTGTCAGATCTTTGGGTGTAAAATATGCTGCTGGTTGGCCCCATTCGTAAGTGGTCGCTGCAATGGCAAGGCATATGCCAGTGAGAGACAGTGGCTCTGCGAAGAGAATGAGCCAGTCATCGAGTTGTAATTTCCCTGTTCTATTAAGGCGTGTGTATATACGCGCGACAACGAGGAAGAACGCGATGACTCCGAATGAGATGACCGGTCCCAAGTAGATGGCGCATTTGTCAGAGTATGGCGGGATCGCGATCGGGGTAGGCATCGCGTTGTAGAGGGAGAAGTTGGAACTCAGACGAAAGAGAAAAACTTTGGGGCCCAGGGTATCGCAGCCGTTCTAATCTGTGTATGTTTGATCGTCAGGAGCTCCACGACAGTAAGAATTCCTTGCGTGGCGTGTTCAAGGCGTGACTCAACAAAATGATGCTCCCGTCAAGTAAGAACGGGTATGCCCTGCACAAGTGAGAGTTGTACTATAGCAGGGCCAATACATAAAGGAGGAAAGGGAGGTTCGACGAGCTGGAGCATGGTAAACCGGCATTCAGCCCACGGGCGCTATGTACGGCACTTCAATCTGACATGCATACCTGCCTGACGATGAGGCACCCAGCCGTATATCCCCTTGTAGTAATAAGGTTTGAGCCTTTGATCCTTCGGTGCGGAGACGAGCTTGCGCAAGGTGGATTCAGTGGACAATAGGCCTGTCGCTTTGATATGGAAGTGGCTTCCGATACATGCCTCTCCCCGAGAGGCCGTAGACGAACCGAGTTCCACGCGTGCGCTAAGCGATGTTTAGTCTAAGAGGCTATATCTTATATCGGGTAAAGCCCCCAAAGGCGGGTGTTCGCGTTGCATGATTCAAGAACACTCGGTAGCTGAAGCAACCGCCTACCGCCCCTGAAACGCCCAACTTTACAAACTTTGAATCATGCTCCGAAATGGTATCACC